AAAAAAAAGAACGATTGAGATTGAGATGAATAGCAGAACAAGAATGCCTACTATCCATGTATGATCAATCTCAATCGTTTTATTCGTCACCTCATACACATACTTCAAGAACACGGCTAACGCTTCTTACAACTTCCAGACTCATCTATACAATGTAACACGTATAGTTTCCAAACAGCCTCTAGTGAATTCCACAAAGAATACCGATAAGATATCCTTTGGGGAATAGCTAATACTTAGGATGATGAAGATTGAAATATTTCCTTTAAATAACACATTATATGAATAACAATGTCTGGCCAGATCTTGATATTCAAAAGAAATATTTTTCTCAGACGTTTTCATAGCATTTTACCAATTCTGCCTTTCTTTCTTGACACTATGTAAAACTTTAGTATTAGTAGACAATAGAACTTTTTCAAGACAGGAAGTATTTGTTTTGCAAAGTTCTTGTTTGCGCACTATTTTTAGAAAAGTTTTCATCATCAAACAGTGCGATTATGTACTACATTATTAGGCGTATGTGTCCTCCAATGTGCTCTGCAATAAGCTTCCTTTCAACACTGACTGTTTTAACGATATGGGAGTAGGTGCGGAAGATCTAACTTTAACAGTAAAAACTGCATACTTTTCCTCGACTTCCTTTACATCTATACTGTCTACCATAGCTGCTTATTTATATTTGTTTCTGACAGTATTCTACGCTCTTACTAGCCTTTAATATTCGACGTGATGACGTCGGCTACTCGATTTCTCCTCGATACATCTCAACTTTCTTTCTCTCTTGTCTCTCTCGAATGCAAGCTTGTCGTTCTTCAGTGTGACACGGTTGAGATAATACAATAATCACTACACTAAGCTAAATTACCTCGATTATTGCCGATCCGATCAAAACTACACTTGCACTACTGCTCTATTTTGCCTGATATAAAGATATTTCGTGTAGTCGCTGGATCTCTGAAGACTATGTAAGACTTACTATTCGACTTTTAAGAACCTCTTATTGATTAGGGTTATTCTATACTGACAGTCACACCATCACGGTAATCGTTATCATCAATGTTGTACCTGAGCACTATACATATCTAGAACACTATCCTTTTTATTGGCATGTAAATGCAATTATGATAAACAGAGATGCAATCGTTAATGCTTCGATTAATAAAGACAAAGAAACAGTTGACGGTGTTCTCAGTGTGTACGTGTCAGATAGACACTACGATATGTTTATAGAAAAAGACATCTGCTTCATTTAAGTTTTTTGGATATCTAATGGGTGGGTGTGGGTGTGTATAAATCTGTTAATCAAAAAGTCAATAAATTCAAGCAATAACTTCTCTTGTCCACATAAATCCGAATGAATTTCGACTAGATGCAACCACGTGAATATGTCTAAACAAGTACGAATAAGTAACGCTCGTTCGAGAACTCGCTTAGCTCTTTCTCGTAGAAACGCATCCTCTTCATATTTATTGAAAAAACAATTGAAAACCGTGGAAAATAAGTTTTCGATGTTTTTTTGACCTTGCGGACACACAATCAAACAAACAATTTATGTTTACTGGACTCTTCTCTACGAGAAAGAGAACAACTTGAAAAGAAAGATCATGAAATCAGAGTAGGACTAGAATCTACATCTTTCGATAGCCGGTCAGCTATTTTACCAATTAAACAATCCGAATTTCTTTCCAACTATAATAATAGTTGCATATTCGAACATCTAATAGAGAACATAAAGATTAAGACAGTAGAGAGAGGATGGGTGTGAGTGTGGGTGGATGAAGGAACGAGACACCAACACCTACACCCATCATCTATACGATCGATATTATATTAACTTCCTTCATAATATGAAGTGCTTTTGCATTTTCTTGATTTTGATGGCTCTTATTTCAATATATCAATGAGTCTAATGGGCGATACGCCACATTATCCATGGCGTGGTCGTCAATGTCAACGAGGAGAGAAACGTGATGGTCATTGCCATTGTCCAGATCATGGAAAATTGGCTAATACTTATTGTCGTTATGGAGGAAATGATTGGATCTTTTTTCCTTTCGGTCGTCGTCGTTAGATGTCTTTTCGAGAAAGTCATGATTATGATTATGCATGAACATCCTTTGCTTATTATCTTTTATTCTTGCTTATCATTTTTCTTTCAGAAAATAAATATATGTGCTTCATATGTTGACTTTACAGTGCGTCTTTTTTCGGTTTTGACGGCGTCAATGAAGATACATGAGTTGCGACACACAACGACTCGTCTCCACGGCTCTTTAATCTGTCAAGTCTTTGGACGAAGTATTCTTGAGTTTCGCGATGTTTTTGTAATGATTTAATGCTTTGACTACCAATATTATTTTCGATAAACTGGAGGAGATTGTAGTAATCGGTTTGCAAAAATGTTTAGCGTCACACGACGATGAGAGATGAATACGATATGGAAACTGTTGTTAGTTTTGGAGGCGGGTATGAACAGAAAGCACCCTTACCGTTAAGATGCTATGTTTCAGTACAGAAATATTTTTGTATGAAACAAGTTAATCAAGATAAGATAGAAAAGAAAGGAGGTCTATAATTTCGAGACAACACTGCTTTCTTTCTATCGCTTCTTACACATAAATAGATGACGAGGATAAAGAACAATTATATATGCATGTAGCACATATACTTATTTATCCAACGAAGAGATAAACTGAATTGTTTTTCTACTTTTTCGTAATTAAATAAAACATCACTATCTGAACAGAACGTTTGTGAAAAGAAGAAATTTGAACACATGTGTTTATCTGTTATATGAGTAATTAACATTTTCTATGGAATGTGTGAGCTTGTGTTACATTTGGAATAAACGTATATACAACAACATATGCCAACATAAGGTCCGATATAAATCGTTCGTTTTGTTACTGATCAATCGATCGACATTGATCAATGACGTTGACCACGTTGGACTGCGATGATGAAACTACGACTATATTTATTGCTTTCTCTTTCTGTTACAAAACAAAACGGTTATTTACTAGTTCTTCAAAGAGAAAGAAAGAAGAGAAAGTAACATTCTCAATCTGTATTAACAATTTCTTTATATTCATAGATGGCAGGGATTGTCGAACAAATAAATATTCGTCATGTAGTATTGGTTGCATCAGCGCTGTATAGTCATATGAAGCCATTATTAGTTCTTACTAAACGATTAATCGCACATCTTACTTAATTAATCGCTCAATCGAGACGATTGTTTGTGATATATTTGTTCATATGCCTATTGGAGTTGTTCACGAAAGAAAAATGATCGCTTAGCTTTTCCTCTCTAAATGTCAGAAGAACATGTAAGAATATAGATTATTCGATTATTATTTGTCGTTTTAGACGAATACTATCGCAAATGTAAAACAATAGCTGGATACACAATAGAAACAACACATTAGACATCATCAGTTATGTATCTTGCCTTTGGTTCAATGAGCTGTTTTACACCTGAACAAATCATCAGAACTACTCGCACTCTATCACCTTATTATTTTATCTGATTTTTCAAAGATAAATTTCATATTCATTACTACCATCCTTGATTGATAATCTTCTCGATTGGGCATCTCAAAGATTCATTTTATCACATGGTGCATGAAAACAATTCATTGGAAAATATATCAGTCAGAACGTCTATGTTCGGTGATTAAATTTTAGATGGATTTGATATAGAGCAGAAATATGGTATTGGTCAACAGACATGAACTATTCATCATATTATGAACAATGTTCATCTTCGTTGTGTTCTTATACTAAAATCGAAAAGTTTAATATCTTCTACAAGATCAATCGATGAGAATTTTTAATAGAACAGCATCAACATCTTCAATCACACAAGATTAGTTTACGAAATGAATAGATTTTTATACATTTGATTCGATCTTGTTATTGGTACACCTTTATCAGATGAAATTTATACTCTTTTAGAGGATAGAAATGAAGATTTTTCTTATAAATACTTGTAAGTGTTCAGCACGTTAAGTTTTGACAAGACACATTCACTCGAATGAGGTAAAAAAAATAAACATGTGTTTGTCGCAGATCAAAGGACGCGACAGTTAATAATCTTCTTATGAGGTATGAATTACCAGAACACTTAACACATGCCTTCAAATAGTGTGTGATGAATATGATGTCATTTCTTATCATTGAGCACGTTAGCATGACAGATTAACATTTGATGTTGTATTCATTTGTGCTAGATACTTGCCTTTCTCGAGACTGGGTTAAGAAGAAACACGTGCACTCTCATTCACCGTTAAGGCCCCTCTCCTCACTCAAAAACTTTTCTCAGGATTAGCTCATGCGAATCGCATGAATTTTTCAGAGTATGTTGGGCCTACGCTGGAGAAGCTGTGGTAAAAATTTCAGCCCGATCCGACGACGTCTTACAGGGATATGCACCAAGCAAGGGTCAAAAGTAGTTGATTTGGCATCCAATATGAAACAGATTAACTTATATATCTAAGATACAAATTAATCCGCTGATTTCAACTTTTGCTTTTCAGCAATCGATCTATTGTCCAAAATAAATTTATAAGTTGATATGCTTATTAATAAGATAGATAAATAAATAAATAAATAAATGCAGATGTTTGCTTCGCCTTTTTTTTTAAAGACGCGTTTCGTGTATTTATTTAAAAATAAAATTACACTCATCAGGGCTCTGCATTTATAAATAAATAAATATAGTAAACAACAAAAGGTAACATAACATATAGAAAAACGGTAACAGAAAGAAAATATGAAAAGATGAAAAGAAAGTTAACAAAAAATGGTATAGAAAATGAAATAGAATGGGGGTCATAATAATGTATGTAACTATGAAAGAATAGAGGCTACTCAAAATAAATAATTATTAATGAAGATAAATGAAGAAAGTAGGGGCTGCTTATAATAAGAAGAATGCTGAAAGTATGTAAATAAACGAACTTACAAGCGGTCAGTAGAAGATAGATAAGGATTATTCATGAATCACGTGTTTGTACCAGACGTTGTTGTAGGTTATCAGCGTTACGAGTACCCAAGATTCGTGTAACATCATTAATTGGTGATTCAGAGAAGTATTTGTTCCAAAGATGATGAAAGTTTTGTGGGAATGATTTCATACTGGAACAATAAGTAAAATGAATAAACATAGATTGACCATAATTAATTGGTTCTTTAATTTTAATCGGACTATTGATTATTTGTAAACGAATTGTATCATAATTAGTTGAAGTTAATGGTTGAAGAATATTGAATTTTACGAGAAGACGATTAAATTGTTGATCAATAAAGTTAATCGGATATTGGTTAAGAAGTAAAGCCATTCGTAGATGATCACGTTCTTGTAAATAAGATTGAAACGTTGAACAATATCTAATGGCACGTAATAACATTGTAAATGGTATGTTTGCTTTTATATGCAAAGGATGAATGCTATTGAAAGGCAAAAAATAAGGTTGATATGATGGCTTGGTAAACACATTGGTAATTAATTGACCATTTTTATTTTCAATATGAAGATCGAGGAAATTGATGCAATTGCTAATAGTATCAGATAATTGTATATTTCCATCATAAGTATTCCATCGATTAACTTCTTTTTGTAAATGTCGATTGGGCCAATTGATTATAATGATTATATCATCAATATAACGAAAATATAAGCCATGACTATTTGTGATTTGCCGAATAATAGATTGTTCGAAGAAGAACATATAACAATTAGCAATAGTAAGGGTGAGAGGAGAGCCCATTGCTCCTCCACGAATTTGATGGTAATATTCATCTTTATATTTAAAATAATTGTTTTCTATGACAAATCTTGCTAATTGTACAATGGTATCTGTAGTTAATCCACCAGTTTGTTGTAATTGTAGATGATTTAACATTTTCTTTAATGCCATAACACCGGCAACTTGGGGTATCATAGTGTAGAGATCAACAACATCAATGGTACATAAACTTGTTCCTTTGTGTAAATTAGTTGATGACCATTTTTGAAGATGTTTGATCAATTCGAAGCCACAAGTAATAGTTGTTTTAGAAGCCATTTGATTAAATAAAGGTCTTAGTAGATCATCTAAGTACTTGGAAATTTTTAATGTTGGGTGCTTAAGGCCAGAGATAATTGGACGAAGTGGAGTCGAGGGCTTATGTGCCTTTGGCAAATAATAAAGATGTGCTAATTCAATATCATCTGTTTGTTTAAGGCACAATTGTTCATATTGTTTTTGTGAAATCCATTTCTTAAGACGTAAACTAAGTAAATATTTATTCGTATGTTGAATTAATTTTGGTAATGGATCAATTGAGCCAATACATTCATAAGCCTTTGTTCTCTCCATATATTCAATTGATTGTTGATCATAATGTTCGGAAGTTCCTAAGTGGAAGACTTTGGATTTATCAGTTTTTCTTAATATAACATTGGCCAGACGTAATTTATATTTTAATCGTTTAACAATTCTATGATAATTTTTTCTTTTTGAAACAGGTAAACGAGGATTTGTATGAATATCATGGTAATTTTGAAGAATTAAATCTAATTCATTTATAAATTCTTGAGCAGGACGACCGGGATTGACTTTCTTTTCATGAAAACGACTTTCAAGTTTTCTTTTTAATGCAGACAATTCTTTGGTTCGCCGTTGAGATGCTATCTTTGGATCATTGAAAATAAATCTTGGACCTAATTTAAGAATATGATATTCATCCTCATTTAATTGAATATTTGATGCTTGATTGATTATATTTGGACCGAATGGTCCATGATTATTGCCGACGACGGGATTGGAACCGGGGCAGTTTCTGTGTTGATTTCGCCTACGATTCGTTCTTCGTCTAAAAAATGACACGATTGTTCAGCTTGTAATTGATGTCGTTTCATGCATAATTTATAATAAAGTTCAAATGCTTCGAAATGTTGTTTATCTTCTTTGTTACTATTATTGCTATTATTATCATCATCACTTTCTTGATTTTCTTGTGCATCATTTTGTTCTTCATTGACAGTAAGGTTCAATGCAGATGGTGGACTAGGACGACAATTTTCTATAATAATATCAATTTCATTTCTAACATTGTTTAATTCACGAGCAGTTACTTGATAATAAAATTCCATTGATTGCTTTTTAAATGAATTTGTAAGTTCACGCATTCCATTGTAAATAGATTGTATTTCATCTTGTTCAAAAACTTTTGTATCAATTTTAAATGTAAAATCATGTTTTTCAATAAATTTTGGGAGTAAGTTATATTCCATACGTTTTTGTATTTTATGAAAATTTCTATTCTTATTATCCCATTTAGTTAATTTTGATTGTAAAAGTAAATGAAAATTCCATATTATTTTCTTTTCTGCCATATTCTTAAAATTTTGAAGAGCTTGATATTCTTCTTTTTCTATATTGGCAATTTGAAGACGTGTATCACAATTCTTCTTAACATGTTTTGTATGATTATTAATATAATCGGATAATTCTTTTTCCATTTTAACAAAATCAAATGAAGAAGCAGGACGTGCTGTTGTACTTTCTCTTGTAGCCATTGTAGAAAATTGTGTTTGTTTATTAGGAAATGCTACTTGTGACCAATAATTAGCAAATTCTTGTTGTAACTTGTTAATTATTACTGAACATTCATCGAGTTTTAATTGTAAAGAATTAATTTTCTTATCAACAAAAGGTTTAATTTCAACTTTATCTGGTCGTGATCTCATACGATTAATAATTTCTTTAGCCCAAAAATTATCATTTTCACCTAATTGTTTATAGGCATTCCATAATCTAAATTCATGGTTTGTACGTATCCATTCATCATAGACAGGAGCTACATTAAGTAAATAATACTTTGTAATGTCATAAGTTCGATTATCTTGTAATAATTTATAAAATTCACTTGTTCGAGCTTTATTGACATGTTTCCAAAGTTGATCACGTGAAAGATAAAAGTATGATTTCTTCTTTTTTTGTTGTTGTTTATTTTTATTCGTTTTATTGCTACTATAATTGTTATCTTCATAATCATTATCATCGTTGTTGTTATTGTCATTATCATCAAGATTGGCAAGTACAGCAAATCGATTACTATTATAATCATTATCATTATTATTATTTTGTTGATGATATTGCTGTTGTCGATTACGACGTTGACGACGTCTAAAGCCTGATGTCGTTCTTCTTGTTGTTGATTGTTGTTGCTGTTGTGGTTGATTATTATTATTGTCATCATCTGGTTGATTATCATTATTATCATTATCTGAATTAACAACAAATGGTTGTGTATCATTTCCATTTGTAGTCGTTCGTTATGGTAATGCATCAGTAGTTGTTGTTGGTAATCGTGGTAGAATAAAATTACCCATTATTCTTTGACTTGGTTGACGACGATTACCTGTAGATCTTGATGATGATCTTTGTCGTCGATTATCATTATAACGTGTTCGTTGATTATAATTATTATTATGACGACGATTTGTATTAATATATGGTGAACGAGAACGAGAACGACTTTGATAAGGTCGTTGATGATAAGAATTTTGATTGTAAGAACGACGATTATGATTAATATATGGTGAACGACGTCGATTATAAAAGGTTCGTTGACGATAATAACGACGATTTTCATTATAATATGGTGGATGATAATAAGAACGAGAACGATTTCGATAACGATTATCATTCCAATGATTATTATGATAATTTCGACGTTTATTGTCATTATAATAATTACGTCTGTAATTTGATTGATAACGACTATCATTGGATTGATTGCGTCTATAATTCGATTGATGACGCCTATCATTTGATTGATTTCTTCTATAATTTGATTGATTGCCCCCTAAAACACCACTACCACCTCGTGTTTGTTGTTGCGATGGTAGTGGTGCTTGCTGTTGTTGTCTTTGATTATTGTTAGACATTTCGATCGTTAATATAAATTGAAATATAATTGGATCAAATTATAATATAATTGAAAAATAATTTGATGCTTAATATAATTAATGTAAATCAAGTCTTTTGACGTATATATGAGAAAAATGACTGAATGTATGCTTGTGAGTGCATATATATCTATGTGTGGGTGTAGTGGAAAAGCTTGGTACATGCTAAATCTTGAGTATTTGTATGAAAATTTGACTATCTCTATGCATTTTAGATCTCGTGACTGCGCTCAGCTGGGCCTTCGGCCCATGCTTCGCGTTCTGCTTTTGCTTCTGCTTCTGCTTCATACATCCATCCGCTGGAGGTATCCGCTGCAGTATGTGTTCCGGTTTACAAGCAATGTTAGTTGACGACCTGTAGCGGATGATGTATAAATCAATTGATTTTTCATTATATATGATATCTTTGTTGAATATTCTCATTATATATATATATATATATATACTATCTAGATACTTATTTTTCAATAAGGATGTCTAGGGTGTGGGTGTGGGTGTGGGTGTGAACAGCTACCATGATCTATAGATTTCACATCAGCAACGATGATCATCAGACGGCAATATATTCTAAATGATTAAAAATCATAAGAATGAATTATATCTGTTATATATCCAAATAATATGAATATATAATGATAATATCGGTATACTGTACAATCTATTAAGGAAATAAAGCTCTCAAGACGCGTTTGGATCCTTGCTTAAGGGATCATCATCAGATAAATTTGAAATTAATAAATAATGCTACATAAGGATAAATAATCGTACATTCATAAGATATAGTAATAGGAGTCGAAACTCTCAACTAATAATCAAATGATAAGATCAATAAATCCCTTGATGTCGTAGCAAATCTTATAAATGGTGTGTATAATATAAGACAATTCCAAGCTACTTACGACGATCGTTTCGTTCTTGCTTAAGTGATCATCATCAGGTAAATTTGGACTGCTTCATATATTGTAAGAGAATTCAATCTCAAATCAATAGAAAATTTAGAAAGAGTTTCAACATCAGTCTTCTGTGGAGGATAGAAAATAGAAGAATCATGATAAATATAATACAAGCTGTGTTTACAAGATAATTCTAATATAACGATTATCTTGACCCTGTTTAATAATAATTTCCAGGTAGTATACAATTCTGCAGAAGTTTACCGTATAATACGAATAGTTAAACATGAGACAAACTTTTGACACATATAGAACATATTGTTTAAATGGAAATAGCTTTTCAAATAATTTTTGTTATTCTATTTACGACTACTACTATCCTTGGCACATGCACCACTAGAGTTAAATTAACTTTGACATGTCGCTAGCGTCTTACTTAATATCCATAGTATCTTCATATTCTGAATAATTTTTCCTTAGGGATTCTTCGAAAATAGTTTGATATAGACTGCGAGATCATTGATTCATGTCCTATTATACAATGCAGTGCTGCAGGTCAAATAAAGGACACTTGACAAAAACTAACTCATATACTCAAGCTTGATATAGACACCGATTGTGAATTGTTAGGTAAAGCGCTAGATGTAACAGCATTAATAATTGCTATATTATCCCCAACTTCTTAGTCTAATTGTATGAAAGTGCTTTATATTTCTATTTTCTATTTCTAATTATATAATCTAGTAAAATATCCATTATTGAAGCTTCAAGTATCGAGAGATTCCAACAAACCTGAGAAATAATCGTTATACTGTCATGTAAAAGTATATTAAAAGCTCACGCGTAAATAAGTCAGATGCTTTATCAATAGCCTGAAACAGTATAGCAGCTGACGTACATGTATTCCATCCGATGATTTTATGTTAATATCGAGTAATCGAAAATATATTTGTATTTGTCCAAAAGGTTTTAGTGAAAATCGTTGTGAAAAACGTGATACTGAAATTGATTTAATATTTGATAAAGATATTCAATTATCTCATTCAATTTTTATTCATTTTATAACAATTATTCCATATGATGAACTGCAACAGGTTATTCCACCAATTTCACCACAAAGATTAACAACTCTGCAAACCATATCTCAAGCAACAAATACAATTCGAATTTTTTGGTCACAACCATTTCATTTAACTTTTATTGAAACATTCGAGAAAATTTATTATTTATCTGTTATTCAACCAATTTATAAATTTTCAATAAAAATAATTCAAAGAATCAATTCATCCCATCGTTGTCCATCAATCAATGAATTAATGAATAAAACATTTGCTCAATTACATGTACTTCATCGTATAAAATCTTATCATTTCATATGTCAAAAATATTCTCCTAATCTTTTATGTTTTCATGATGATATTCATCTCTGTTTATGTGATGATTTTCATAGAAAACGTTTAGCAAATTGTTT